TACATACATTTCAAGGATACGCACTGTCAAGCGCAAAGTCCCGAATGTGGCTGACTGGTGAAGCCCCTTGTGTTGGGAAAGATGTTGAAGCTGATTATAGGTTTTAATCAGGATTTGGCTGCGGACTAATGGTCTTGTTGCATTTGGCTAAATTAACAAACATGGTCTTTTGCGTTTCAGGTCTGCTGATGGAAAAACAGTACAAAACTGAAATGAAGGTAAGACCCCGCGCCTGCTTGGCAACCATTGATTTAAACAAGTATTCGTTAAGCGTCTTTCCCTATGGTTCCTTCATTTCAAAATTATGTATTGGCACATTTCAAGGGTGTATTATTCAATCTCGGTTCGGCGATCGACCAGGATGTTAAATAGAATATCATTATTTGGCAGCGATCGGGTGAAGACCCCCAAACACACACGACCAGCCGAAGGTGCCTGTCTTACGGGAAAGGTGGTAATAAGGGTTTTGCAGGCGGGGCCGATGTATACATAGAGGAATATCAAAATAAATAGAGATAATTGGCATATTTGTTTTCCTGGCGCAAAAGTTTCAATGAATTGACATATCACAGCCGAGATTAAGGAGGAAAATTAAAAAAAGTAGACATTAGATTTCTATAACGATTGCTTCTCACTTCTCTGAGCTGAGGTCATTGTAGATAATGCATCTGACCGTCTACAAAAGATAGCCCAACCTTGTACGATGAAACACCGAGCCGAAATAATCATGTAAGTCAAAAACCCACTTAAATAAGTATAGTAGGTACTCCTTGTATGCCACAGATGCTTGAAGACCTTCACTCGATCCTTATCCACTATTTCCTTTATAAGGATTTCGTGTTTGATATCACAGATTAGAGCCACTTAAGGAGGAGGACGCAAACATTTTTCTAAATTTCGAGGTGACTTGTCCCAGACAAGCGACATAAGTCGTAATCTAACAAAACAAACATTTCTTAAATGGGACTCGGGAAAATGAGGCAATTACACTACCGTAAATGGTCAATTGCGACGTGGAATCGAGTCGCAGACCCCTCGATAATCACTCTGAATCAATTTTGCCCTTTCTATGACTCGCAAGGCGTGCCGCTTTTAGTATGAATGAATTACCACTTGCAATTCAGGACAAACTGCAAACGCCGAAAATCGATAAGATGAACGAAAATTCATACGGTTTTTCATGCAAAAGGTGACCGAATTGCTTCGATTCAGAGGCTATTTTCGGTGTCCGTCAGTCCGCATGGGGATGCAGCAGGAATAAGCTAGAAACCACCATTTTTATCTACGCCGTCCGTATCAGTATTGGTTCTTGATTATTAACTGTTCGTCGACTTCATAAGAGAGATCAAGCTCGTAGCTGCAGTTCAAAACAGAACGTCGCCTTTTTGTCTCGTAGTCGGACAGATTAATGAAAGGTATTCGCATGTAGCTTTGCATATTTTTCGACCTTGGATTGCAGTCAGTCAAACGTATCCTTCGTCAGTTAACTGTAGTTCTGGTAGTTAATCGCAATTTGCCTAATCTTTAAAAACTACCTTAAATTGCTTCCGGAATCATTTTGAAACTGCAGTTTTGGAGCCTTGAATTTACATTTTATAGTGATATCTGCCAAGAAGATAAAATTTAGTAGTTTACGATAAGAATGCAGAACAAAGCAAGAGGGGGTCAGTCTGAAATTCACTTGTGCAGCGTTAAATGCGTGCGGCACATTTTCGAGCGAGCATGATAGTATGCTAGCTACACCACCAGACGTGCTTTTTAGAATTGTGCATGATGAAATCTACGGTAGACATCCGGTAGACAATCTGAAATGCTTCCTTGACATCGACTCGATGGTCCGTATCGATTTAATGTGCGAGAATAGAACTCGAAATCGATCGAGTATCACCTCTGTCTAACCAAGCGGGCATATGTTCACGCATCCTCTTTACCAGGCGTCTCGCTGTACGGCCGATGTATCTCGCTTCACAGGAGCAAGGGAATGAGTAGATGCACATTGCCAATGTGTTTGCCAACTTGACTTTTCAAGTGTAACATGGGGATATTTGCGGAAATTAGTTTATAGCAGTAGTAGACTTGCGCAGCATCCACCGCACTCTCTCCTCCCTCACCTGGCTCTGGTGCCAAGACCGAGTCAAGAAGACCAGAGAAGGGAGAGGACGCAGGTGGCTGGTACGGCGTAAATCCGCATCTAGGCGTGCCACCACACCCCCTGTTTCACAACAAACACTTGACCAGGACTTTCCACAACAACAAAATGGTAGGCGGCATGAGCCGCAACTTGGCCCGCCACCACACCCCGAATGTTGGCATTTGTTTTGGGTGTGCACTCCCTCTTTAACAGCTGCCGGACTCCTATCTAGTCCCCGTGTTGATCCAGGGCATCTATCGCGTGGACCGTTTTGGGAACATGACATCTAAAACGCACCACAGTTCGACCATCGGTTTCGATGATGTCCACCGTGTGCCCCACAATTGCAGCAGCAATGGGAGCAGGGACGGTGACTTACGCAGGGGTTTATAGTGCCGGTAGACTTGCGTAGCATCTACCTACACTCTCTCCTCCTCCCTCGCCCATGCCCGAAGTCAAGAAAAAGTCAAGAAGACCGGAGGCGAGGGAGGCCGCAGGTGGATGGCTCGGACGGATCCTCACCTTGGCGTTCCACCACACCCCCTGGTCCACACAACAATAACCAGGATTTCAACCAACACAACAGAGATTTGGAGGCTGGCACGGCCGAAGCCGCACCTGGGCGTGCCGCCAACGCCTGGCTCGGATCCCACACTGTGACGGGAGTGCCATAAAGGCCACATTAAAAAGGAGCCATTTCAGCCTGACTCTCAGACCGCCTCCGGTCAAGGAGGAGGTCCAAGTTACCCCGTCAGTTGGCAACCTTCCAAGCCACGGCTTTTAGCGCAGCGTGATAGCTTCAAGCACGTCAGATTGTTTATAGTGAGGAGAAAGTGCGCTGAGTCGTCGACCTCACTCTCCCACACACTCTCCCACGCACCACACACACACACACACACTGACACACCTGTATGGCAGTAGTTATAGGCTCGCATAGGCTCACCGCAGCTCTTCGAGCGCGTGCTGTGAGATATTCTGACTCTCATGTTGGCTCAGAACATATGAAGCTCAACACGCATGGCTTGATACCGTCAGCACACACACTCTGGCTACCACCAACGAATACGGCTGCCTAAAATAATATCTAAGGGGTTCTGTACGGAATCAATCCCCTCCCACTGTCTCATTTTCGTTTTCACAGCTGTCCTGTGCGTGGCCTTGATTGCTTTGTCTAGACTGTATCACACTGCTTACTGCTGTAGGTTTACAGGGTTTTAGTTGACCGACAGAGATGCTTGGGTTTTTTTGCTGGTTTTCAGGTTCGCTCATTAAAACGGCGTAAATTATTAAAAGAGCCTTGCTCGTGAGAAATATAAAATGCGACAGATTTAAAAACGGCTGCTTAGGAGAGTAAGACATCTTCAATATTTAATGAAATGTTCTTTTTGGAGAATTGCAAGGATGTGTTAAATAAATGAATATAATCCATAGTACATTGAAGTTCCCACTCAAGGTTTATAGTTATCTTTCCGAGGATCTGGGCTGTGGTAGGAAAGTCATTATAATAAAAAAACGACCAGCATTGATTTGCTTTTGTGTTTGTAAGGCCGATCTTGGTAATAAAACCAGCCAGCAGTCAATTAGGGTTCTACCTAACCATGAGATTTATCAAGTAGGCAATTAAGAACTGTGTAACACCCTAGTTGCGATAAATGACTACCGAATCCTCTCAATAGTACAATCCCCGGTTCTCCCTCTGTCTCCTCCCCTCTCCCTCCCTCTATGTTTCCGCATTTCTAATGGCGTCCGAGTGTGGCTCCAAATCGTCAGAGGTACGAGGCTCTTGTGACAGTTGTCTTTGAGCGCGTACCTTCTCGGCCGGAGTTTTGTGAGGAAGGAGCATATTTTAGGAAGTTGTGAAGATTTGAAACAGCATCTTTTGCTTCCTGTCATCTTTGCATGTCAAGTGCGTAAGGGACAAATTTGATATCGCGATTGAGGTGCAGTTTAGGCTTTTCCTAAAAGATGCCGGAAAATGCTGAGCGTATTACAAGAAAATTAATTATTAACGGGAAATTCTCTCTCTTAATAATAGGATATCACTGGATAAAAATACGGAGCTCCGAAAGTACACTAGGGCGTTAACCTACAAAAATTAGTGACAGAGGTGGAGGGATACAATTCAACCACAGGCTTCGTGTGCCAAGTGGCGTTATACAACGAAAAACAGTGCGTGTTCGTTGCCTATCATGGACCATCTAAACTGGACTAAGCAGATTGGAGATGCCGTATCTTGACTTGCTTTTTTGGCAAGGATATGGTTTATGGCCTGGGTTACTGACGCCGGGGAGCAATTGCGCTAAAATAAAATAACTGGCGAGATTTATTTATGCGTGCTAGAAAAAGAAATAAAAAGACTTCGCGGTGGCTGTTGCGTGAGGGTGGTGAAGATGCTTTAGGGTGGTCATCGGTGTAGGAATGGCATAATGCATTGGTTTTTTATCAATGCCTGAAGAGAGCCATTAAAGTCGTTTACGGCTCTCATTAAACGATAACAATAGTGTCCCCTTTAAATTGGTAACAATTTGGAGGATCACAATTTGTAATACCACAGATTGATTAGATTATCAGCTCTTTTGGTCAACACAAATGCCCCTCCCGTAGTAAGTAACCCCGGCCATAAATCATACCCGAGCCGTTTTCCTTGGCAAAAAGCCAGCGTTAGGCCTAAAGGCAATCAAGACCAGGTTAAACTGTCGAGTTTGGCAGTAAAATTAGATCTACGGAGGCTGCGGATATTACAGGTTAATTGGTTATATTTTTTGAACCAACCAGTTTCTATTTCCCTCGCTATTCCCTCCAGCCATGGGACCGCCTGCCTTTGCACATTGTCGAAGTGATCCTCAGCCACTGCTGCCTCGATGACCGCATGGTTTGCGTGCGCGTTCTTCCACGCTGGGGTCTCGCCTTTCCGCGTCGCATTTCCCTGTCCGAAAAGGCCTCTTCCTACTTCGCCGAGGCAGTAGAGCTGACTGCGAACCTGCCCGAGGTTCACATTGACCTGCAGGGCATGGGGCCCACACTGGTCGGTGGAGCGCTCACCCTCCTGTCGCAGCAACTGCGCCAGCTGCCTCGTTGTTTCAACAATCTCGTCAGCCTCGATCTGAGCTCCCAGTGTCAGCCTCTCTCCGACCTGCTTGACCTCTTCTCTGCCAGCGACAGTTCACCCTTCCCTGCGCTGCGTTTTCTCTCGGTCCGGCCGATCGAGGACTTCCGATCAGTGTGCGAATCGACTCCAAAGCCCCCAAATTTCGCCGCCCTCCGCTCTCCTCCGCGCCTTGAAGAAACACACTTGCATATAACGGGTGAGGTTTTGAAGAGCACCCTTGGCATGAAGGCCCTCCTGCATCTGCTCAACAATGTCCGTGTTTTGGCCGTCTGTGAAGCCTTCTCCACCCATGAGACATGGTCAGGTATCATAGGCGGCGCAAACCATTTGCCGTTCTTTCCTCGATTAATACTACTCCGATTCACGGACGAGGGTGGTCTTCAGACCCAGCTGCTGAGCATGCCACGCGAAGAAAGACGCCAGATGATGCCCTGTCTGAAGGAGATTGTAGTTGGTGTCTTCTGCTGGAGTCGAAGCCATCGGAGGCTAATCACCCGATTGGCAGCTCTCTCCGATTACAAAATCTACCTTTGTGATGAGGGTGTATCAACGCGAGCCAAAAGAGGTCATACACCGGGTAGACCCATTCTCTTTCCAATCGTTCCAGTAGAAACGGACAAGTATGCCTTTTATGGAGACAAGTTGAGCAACCTGTCAGTCTTTGTGAACGCTGATGCTGTGTCGCCATATCCAGCCAGTGGTATCGCAGTTTCGGTGACACCAATCGAGGCACAGCTGGCCCAGTCGCCTGATCGCGTGCGTTGTTTGGGTCTCTGTTCCAGACTTGCGGACACGATGGGCCAGGCCTCAGAGTTTATTGGTCACTGTCAGAAAGTGGCCTTTATCTGCCGAGAAAAGTTAACTTCACTCCTCAGGCTCGCTGGATGCAATTTGCACTTCCTCGCAATCAATCATCAGATACTGGCGGCCTGCTCCGTGGACCCCATCCTACAAAATATATGCATCCAGTCCAGGGGCTGTTGCCCCAGTGTACGCTGCCTTCACATCGTGGGCACAATTTATGCTGTGAGCCTTCCACAGGGCAGTAAGCTGTGGGCATCTCTACGCTTCATTTGTGGCCTGTTTCCTCGTCTAGAGCGGTTGCGAGTCAGTTTTATGTTCGGTCTGGACGCAACCGACTTGAGCTTAGCCATTGCTCAGTGTCCCCACCTGCAAACCCTGTTTCTGCATAGAGTGCAAATTCACCTGCAGGAGTTCCAGGAAGCACTACTCAGCATCCTTTCAACGAGCAGGCAATTGGTGGCTCTGAGTCTCATCCTCGGACAGATACCCATAGGTGGTGAAGTCCGGGCCTGGACAGGTGCCTTTCATTCCAAGACCTTGCGGTACCTGCATTTGGAACTCTGTTCGGGAGGCGAGATATTTGTCAGGGAAGTCCTGATGATTGCTCAGCAGATTCCAACACTCCTGTGGGTGGTTGTGAAGTGTAATGACAGTCACGTGATAGTGGCCAGTCGAACAGAGGCCTACGATACTCCCGTGTTAAAGGAATACCTGCGCCTGGACACACTCGACCTACCTGTGATCTGCCCTCAATTGTTTGACCTTCTGTGGTTTCAGAAATCTAGCGTCTCCTACTACCAGTTCCCCAATTACTCCCCTCATCACTTCGAGCGAATCATAAAACCGGAGTTCTATGGTCAGACGGTCAAGCAAACGATTTAATTTTATGCCTAGCGTCTTTGAACTCTCAGATCACGAAATGAGCATTTATTTATACAACAATTTTGTTAAATCGAACGGACAGAATGTGATATTTTGTATAAGATAAAAGTATTTTTAGGTCTGTTTATTTTGGAGGGACCTGGACAGAACCTGTTTTCAGCATACTTAAATGCCGGATTCTGTGGGTGTGTCGGTTCCTTTACAGCAAAGCAGATATCCAAACAATAATACGCGTGCAACAGCAAGTGGAATTTGAAGAAATTACTCATTTACCTCTGAGAGATCCTTACCAGTCATAAAAAACTTCGGCGCGAAATATGACTTTGGTATAAGCAATACACATTACCAATTTTGAGTGAAGGAGACAAAAAATAGCTGTGGACGTGTGTTAATCATTAGGGCATAACTAAGACGGAGAAGCTTTCTTATTTCTTTAGAAACTAAACTTTAGGAACCAAACTATGACCTTGGAGTAAATTATATAGCACAAACATCCTCAGGTGCCGTTCAAAAGTTTAAATAAATATTTGGGCTGAAATCCATTTCGTGGAAGTAATCGCGAAATACTCATATCCTACTGACAGGTAACCAGTAATATATCACCACCAATCTAGTTAAACTATTCTACAAACAGGTATAGTACAGGAGGAAAGCTGGGTAGCCCCACTAGTGAGCTGAACTCTCATTTGCGCCATACAAAGTATAGAATCAATGAAGTACTTGTCTGGGATTCTAACCAATGACCGTGCAGAAATATGGCGAATAAACAAGTATTTACTTGCTAACATTGCTAAGTTTGTCATGAGACTTACTTAACCTGCCACCATGGTCCATAGTTTCGTCCTTAACAGTGGGCCAAACTAGGAAGGACAGGCCATGGAGCAACCAGAGGAGTCATTCATCTTTTATTTTTGAGCACAGTTGATTAATGATTCTTCAAATTTTAACAGTTCAGATAGTGCAGAGACGTTTCTTGTGTCGACCACTCTGTAAAACACAGGTAGAAGTAAACTAGTTAGGTATGGACGGCAGAAATAACGAATGGGATCTCAACAGTTGGCCCAGTCCATCGCAATCTTTGAAAGCAGACGACGGGAAGCGGCCTATATATTGTATGTACTTCTGAATTGAAAAACAGGCATCTCAAGAGATTTAATTAGGAAGATAGAATTCCTTGGGAAACAGCAAACTCTACTGTGTTAATTTTCGAGACTGGTTGTCCAGCTCGTCTTCAAACAACGGGAGTGCAAAAACAATTCTAAACGGAGTTGGACAAAGGATTCTATGGCAGCTAAAGTCATCTTCTCGGAATTGATTGAGCCAGGGTTCTGTGCGTGTGCGGGCTTTTTTTATAAGAAAACGGATATCGGAACAATAACACGCGTGCAACAGCAAGTGGAATCTAAATAAATCACTCACTGACACCTGAGAGACCTTTTCCAGTCATAAAAAACGTCGGCGCGAAATATGCCGTTGGGCAAGTTCTGCCGTTAGAAGCGAACAGGCGAGTTCCAGGTAGCAGCTCAGAAGACGAAGATGCGATCACTGGAACAAGAAATTTATTGGCATGACGTTTCGGATTCTCACTCGAACCCATCATTGGAGACAGTCGCAGATAAGGGTAATGGTGGCACAAGGAGTGCAGTATTGGTAGCACGTGGCTGCCGTGGGAACATACGTGTACCGCAATTAACAGCTCTCGCAATCACCGCTGGGGTCGCAATTGATGCGATGGTGGCTTGTCAGTCCGCGTCCGGGTCATTAATTGTCATGATTTCGTCATCAGTGTTGAATGCTGGCATGACGATGACTCGGAAGCTTGACTAACTGTCACTGGAATAATTGCTCGCCCATGCCATCACCAATTGACTGATTCCCCTACCCAGGGAAACTCTCAGCACGGAATACGGTAACGGGAGGTAATTGCGCTTGTTGATGGATTGCGGGCCTAAGAACCATGACTATAGCAGCCAGCGGCTCACGCGGTTGTCACCCCTTGCGAGGACTTCAGCCTCTTGAAACTTGAAAATATGGCCGGGTCCCGTCGAGTGTGCCGCCACCTGAGAGGTAGCGTCTCCCCGCCTCACTGCTGCTATGTGCTCGGCACTTCGCGTCCGAAATAATCTTCCAGTTTCTCCAACGTAGTTGCTTTGTCCGCAACTGCACCAGATCCGGTAAACGACTCCTGACGTTTCCTGCCGTGGCAGCGGGTCTTTTGGCCTCATGACTTGGCGCCTAATGGTTGCTTCCGGCCTGTGTGCAATCCCAACTCCAAGTGGAGTGAAAAGAAGGCTGACGGCTTCCGATACGTGCTTAACGTACGCAACAGCCTGTCAAAATTTGGGGCCTGGTCTCTGGTATCGTTTTCGTGTGCAGTGGTTGACAAAGGTGCGCGGGTAGCCATTAGCTCACAGTACCCGTCGAAGATATTGTAATTCAGCAACTTTGCCTTCCATTTCACTACAGTGCGTCTTAACGCGCCGGTATAGCGCTCTTACGCAACTGCGTTTGTGACTGATCGGGTGGTTGCTGTTGAAGTTCAGTATTTGCGTCGTATTTGTCGTTTTTCTGAACAGTTTGGTTTTTAGGTCACCACAATCTTAGCGGCAGACGAGGACATCCAGGAAGGTCAGCTGGTTCAGTTCTGTTGTTGCAGGGAGCCAGAAACACTGTCCTCGCCAACCTACTTATTTTAGTTAGTCAAGATGGAAAACGAGCTGTCGCCATAAGCTCCAAATTATAGTTCCGCGCCTAGAAGGTATTTAGAACAGATCATGAATGTAAAGTTACTGGTTCTTCGAGTAAAAAAGGGGATTGGTAGGGAAGTCCTTAGAAAGTGCAAGTCGTTTCCGCTGGATTTGCTTGGCTGGTTAGCATTCGGTAAATCAGCTAAAAAAGACATCCGTTTAGCATAAGGGATTGAACCTTGGCTTCTAGCAGTCAAAGTGACCTTTACTGCAACCATTCTGTCGCTATATGTTAACCTGTTAAATGTCGGGTATAAAGAATTTTTGGATATTCATATTTTGACAGATTTTGAATAATTCATATTGACCTAACAGTGAAAAACTCGGCGCCTCGGTGGGATTCGAACCCGCGCTGTAAGGAGAAGGCTTTAGTACAGCCAAAGCTCTAACCACTTGAGCTATTAGGCCCCGCCGGACGACGCGAATTTAATCACATTTGGGTCAAGTTTACCCGCCCAACCTACTGCAACGCCTGGAATCCACCAAATCTGATACAGTAAGTTGACTGCCCAAGCAGGATTTCGTAAGTAATTCACCTAGAAACCACCAGATGACTACTAGGCTCACGAATCCCACCGAGGCGCCGAGTTTTTCACATTTGGGTCAATATGAATTTTTGGATAGAAATTTGGTTATGCATACGACGGAAAGTTTTATATGACGCTCGATAAAGACACGCCAGCTGAGAACTAATTCAAGTAGATCGTTTACTTAGACATGTAGATGGCAGGCCTAGGTGATCGAAACTTGATGAGGACGGACTACATAATCTACCAAGAATATATGTGACCGACGTTAAAGTAGAAGTTTGAGGACAACATCTCACACAACATGTGATGGCAGTTAATGAAGTCAGGAGGTTGGAACTGGGACCAAATGCAACATAAAGTGCAAATACTCCCTCGCCAAACGTTGACATCAGTTCCTACGAGCTCTCTCAAACCCTGTTAACAGGCATATTTTGCTGTCCGAAGCGCTTCGGACAGCTCGCAGCTGGGAGTTATTCTCTACACGAGAGGCAGCAATATTTTGCTGTGTAGGCATAGGAGTACGAGTCCTTATGTAGACTGAGGCATTCTACAACATCCAAAGTATAAGGCAGTTCATGGTCGCTCGAACACTTGGACACATTTTAGGCTGCTTAGGTCAGGTCGTACTGCGCATGATATCATTACTTTAATAATGCCTTTTCTGGGTTGTGTCCTGACAATTATGATGAAATAATGTCCCTTATTCGTAAGAGCCGTTCAATTTAATTTCTTGTCAACTTGCTCTCTGAGCTAGTTTATGTAACACAGACTGGGATATTACTGTCGATACTGAATTTATGCATAAAGAAATCTTTAGGCCAAGATGGTATTGCATAATTATACAGTTTATATATTCGGTAGTCTGGCGTCGCCAAAAATATGATAAAACTGCGCTTCGGCATTACTCACGTTATGAAGGACGTGAGTACGAACATAAAACAATAACTTCGTGTAGCTATCTGTGTCCATCCGAGCCGAAGGCAAAAAAATCATATCTTTAGCTTAGGTAACGAAAAGCAAAGTTGACGAGATCGATAACGTACACAGAAAAATTGTATTCTTTTATAACTTACATGAACAAATTTTAGGTTCCCTCTCCATGTAGCTCTGCGGTTTGCTGCCCTCGTTTCAAATTTTGTCTTTTTTACCGTTTTTATGGATATTTACCGTGCAAAATGTTGACATTTAATTCTTGTTTATTCGTGCGTGCCGTTTATTGCATATACCATCGTTCTCTTGTAGACACATGTATGCTTCATTTTTCTTAGGCAGCATTATGATATAGGCCTCGTTTTTTGTCCTTTTCACTCTGTTACTCTAAACATTGGCATTGGTTGCGCTTGAATATTCAGTGGTCGGTTTATTTGCATGACTGGAACGAAATTCAACACTATTAAACACAAATACCACCGCTGTCAAGCATGAGCGTTATAGGCACACTTGCTGTGATACAAACACATACTTTATTTTCACAGTCGATACAATTCCCTGCGTCTCAACTGTAAGTAATACGCTGTAATGTTCAAAACTCTGTTCCGGTCAGGGGTGATATCAGTATGGGCATATGACAATGTGAAAAAGCGGTGCCATTCCACTCTCATTCAAAAATTTGGACACTCCTCAACTGCAGTGACAGTTCGACCGTCATTAGCGACGATGTCTACTGTGCGCCTCACGGAGTAGACGCGTAGTGAGTGAGTTGGGCGTGAAGTAGTTGATAGCG